TTTTTTTTTTTTTTTTGAAATTTCTCTTTTGGGTTGCCTTCGAAGTTGGAGAAATTGGAGAACTTGCATGTTTTGATAAGTGATGTGATGAGGAATTTGGGTTGATTGGGAAATTATTGAGCTTTATTTGGAATTAAATGGTATTCTTTTTAATTCTATCTTTAGTTGTTTCGGTTTTTAGATGCCGGGGGGGATCAATGGTGTATATTTTGATGGTTGCTTTAAACTTCTATGATATTCTTAGTATGGGAATTCGCAGTTTCTATGTGAAAATTGAAATTAAGATTTAGTATAGTTTCTAAGTTGGAATTTGATTGTTTCCTTTTGAAAAATTGATTGGAAATTTGTGGATTGGAGGGCCAGTCAGCTCACTTTTGCAGAATTAAAGCTGCAGTGCGTAATCATCTTTGTGTTAACTCTATCCTTTAAGTTACCAATTTGGCACTGATTCCTATCATGTCATCACAATTGACCTGCAATGTGGTACCACATTTTGAAATTTGAGCTGCAATTCTTCAAGGTCCTAATCAGTTTTTAATCCTTGTCCCACTTATGTTGAGTGAAGAAGCTGAGAAATTAGAGAGTTGAAGTTTTTATGGCCTATGTGCTTTTTTGGTTTATTTGTTGGCCAATCAGATTTTGAAATTTTAAGTTTGAGACTGACTTTTGTTATCCTAAAAAATGGTGAGTGCTCTGGTTGCATTGAAATATCCATTCATGATATGAAATTTTGCCCGTGAACTGTTTCTTCAGTTTTACTGCAGATGAATTCAATGATTGATTATCTCTGATACATTTTCTTCCTCCACCCCCCCTTTTTATACATCACGCAGGATTATATTTGCACCTTTGTGGTTGTTCCATGCAGTCGTAGCACGTGGCAGGTTTTCCTTACCTGCTCCATCGGCGCCTCATGGACGTCATGTACAAGATATTTATTGCCTTTGTCTAGTTTGTAATTATAACATCTTTGTTTGTAGCAGTTTATTATATGCTTTTTACATATATTAAGCACAGCACAATAATCAATAACATTTATGGAACATATATTCAATGGTTTCTTTTTCTTATTTGCAGTGGGCTCCATTTCATGCAGTCATGGCAACACCTTTGCTAGTTGCTTTTGAGCTACTCTTATGCATACATCTGGAGAACAGTTATGGTAAGATTCTCTGAAGACAGCCATCTATGGATGCTATTCAATCCAATATCTAGTTTTCTCTCTTTTAAGGATTTTATCCATATTCTTATATTGATTTAGTCATCCAAGTTAACTGTTAACTGATTAGAGGTGTCTTTTATTATTCAATTTTCATATCCAGAAGAGGTGTGTTTAAATTTTATGGCATAAATCACATGTGACACTGCATTTCTGGTTAGATACATATTCCTTACATCTAGAAGTACTCAATTCTGTACAATTTTTTGATTGCTTACCTTAATAAATTAACTGTCATGGTATTGAGAATCAGGGATTGATTGGTATATCAGGTGTGCGAAGTGAAAACATGGAATCTGTCTGATTATT